AATAATAATTTACTCATAGTTGCAAGAGCCAATAAGATTTGAGTTTGATGGGGGATTGGGCAAATTGATCTAAGGAACTGAAAGAGGAAAAAGTATTAGCAAGCTCAGTGGTTAAGGATTTGAATAGAGCTCTTTATAGTCCAATCCTGAGGACACTTCCCTGGGAGTAGGCCCCCTTGGATAGATCTAAGTAGGATGCCTCTGATGAGGAATTGTTATAGGAAGGGTATATGAGATTAAAGTATATGAGAGAGAGAGAGTCTGAAAATGTAATACAGGTTTCTGTGGACTGCCTCCCCTATTGTATCACACAGACCTTGCAATAGCATTGTAGCTAACCCCACCTAAGAAACTTCTATGCTGTTTCTATAATTTCTAAAATGTACTTCACACCAACTGTGCATCTCCATTCCTTTCTAATTCCTCTCAACTATGTACAGCTTTCTATGTCGTGCTTCATTTGGACCGCTTTGCTTTCTCAGGTCTTAGAATCCTTCTTTTCTATAACCATGGATCTACATCCCCTTCCTCCAGCCTTGCTGCTTGTCCCAACTCTCTAAAGTCAGAGCAGTTTGGCCAGTGGCAACCCTCTGCCTGTCCAGGAAGTTCAACTAAATACCACTAGAGGTTTTGTCTCCACTGCTACATCACTTAATGCATCACAATATAGGTTCATGTCCATGCTATAATTTATGATGCTTTAGTTTGGGAAGATCTGTTTTCTTAGTCACATCAGTTGGTGCTATTTCCCCCCTGTAAATTCCTCTTCCATCCTAATGGACTCTGCTGCTCACATGTTGTCTGTCAATTTCCTCTTTATCCCACCCTTCCTCCAGTCTCCCTTCCCTTATATTGACCTCACGACAATGGCAATATCACCCAGCCTGATGAAGGGAGCTTTGACTCTTGGAAACTTATTCCCTGAAACTCTTGTTGGTCTCTAATCTGCTATTGGGCTCAAATCTAACTGTCCCAGTATCACCAAGTAAGTGTCATGCAAAATGTAGATCTGAACATGGGTCTCCTCAATCCACACTGGTCTTCATGCCATTGGTCCATCTACTTCAGCATGGTCTGCTCTGATGCAGGTGACCTCTAGAGATTCAGACAGAGACAGATCCTTTCCAACACCTGTTTTCTTAGACCTTCTCGGTTTAAACTTTTATCCTTTCGCACACAAAGCATGATTTCTCTACCATCAGTCCATCAGTGTCATCATTGTCTACTCAGACTGGCAGTGGTTCTCCAGGGTTTTATGTAGAGGATTTTGCCCATGCCATGCTTTGTTTCTGAGCCGTTGGGCCTGGCTAGGGGGGTTCTCAAGGGTTTCCAGGTCCCCCTAAATTTCTGGAGAACCCCTTCCTAAATCCCACATTGCTCCGCCTCCATAAATAGTGACAATGGCCTGTGACATCACTGGCCCGGGAAATTGGAAAGTCTATGCCCCTGCCACCCACCGCCATGCCAGCACAGGGGCCTACACCTCAGTTGTGGTGATGGTTGGCGACCATGGCCCACCACCAGTACACACAAGTAATAGTGCATCACCGGCGGCTTGCACCATCAAAACTGGCACTTAGGCGGGCATATCTTACCTTATGCCCGCATAAGGCTTAGCTGGCTCCCAGAGCACTCTCAGCCCCTCCCCCCATCGCTCTGTTAGTACACTGTCTAAAAAAAGAGAAAAAAAGAAGAATACCTGGAATCAGGAAAGAAAATCAAGTAGTTTATGCAGAGCAAAAAATGCGTGAGCAAAAAAAATATTCTTGAATCTTTATAAGGAAGACTTACTAGATGCAGAAGGAATGGGAAAATATCTACCAGAAGTACCAATTAAAATTTTATATTGGAGCACAGAAGAATACAAGAAAACAATTATGCTATTTTAAAAAAAGCTTAAGGAAAAGGCTCCTGGACCAAATGGTCTGACAGCAACTTACTATAAGTGCTTTGAAGAAACATTAGCAGTACCTCTGCAAAGAGTAATGAAATGAAATACAAGAGAGAAAGCATATACCACCTACTTGGCAAGAAGCGGATATAACTTTAATTTACAAAGAAGGGAATGACCCATAATTACCACAATTATCTCATTATTAAACGTGGATTAAAAAATAAATCTTTACAACAGTTATGGCTGAGACACTAAGAAAATGCATTCCAGACTTAATTCATGAAGACCAAACGGAGTTTGTTCCAAGAAGATACATGAAAGATAATATTAGACATTTATTGAGTGCAATTGAACATTCAACATGAAAAGGAGGGGAAAATGGCAATTATGTTCCTACATGCAGAGAAAATTTTTGACAATGTATCTTGGCTATTTTTAATGAAAGTATTAAAATATGAACTGTGGAACAGAACTGGATATAAACTGAACAAAAAGAAGACAATGTTCTTAATAGCAACTAAAGCAGAAGAAGAGGAGGTAAAAAACACACACCCTAGAATGTGAAAATGAATAGCTTTTTTAAAAATGGCAGCAAATGATAATTTCATATGGAGTGGAAAGAAGCCAAGAATAAGATTTAAAGTATTACAGGACAAAAAATAAGAGGAGGTTTAGCTGTACCAAATATCAGATGGTATTGCCAAGCAACTGCATTAAACTGGATGTGACATTAGAACATAAACTCAAATCGAAGGAATATTAAATTGGAGACAATCGATATTAAAGAAGGAATACATAATTTTTGTAGAAAAAAACCAGCAGGAACTCATTAGCATAATAGATCACACCCAACAGCAGAAACTCATTAGCATATTAGGCCACACCCCTGATGACACCACTCATTAGCATATTAGGCCGTACCCCCATGTTACCAGAAGTGTAGTCATCCAGCCACACCCACCTTTTGCTTCTTATTCTGTTTACCTTGTTTGTTGTCAAAACCCAGGGCTTTTTTTGTAGCAGGAACTCCTTTGTATGTTAGGCCTAACACCCCTAACGTAGCCAATCCTAATGAGTTTCTGCTGTTGGGTGTGGCCTATTATGCTAATGAGTTCCTGCTGGGTGTGGCCAACTCGGGAGCCAGCCAGAACTCCGTTCCTGTGCGTTCCTGCCCAAAAATAGCCCTGATAATTACCTATGGATTAAGAAATCACTAAAAACAATTCAAATGCAAGATAGTAGTCACATCTTGAGAGATGGTCTATTAAGATTATAGTTTCAGTGTAGAAACAGAATAAGTCCACCAACCTCACCACTGACATCCCCAGTTGACGTTTATTGCGATAATAATATAAGAAAGAAAACTGATCACATAATTTATGATAGATCAAGGTGGGCAGCTGTGCTGGTCTGAAGCAACAGAACTGGATTCTCATAATTCAGGGTACATCCATCTCCAGTTCTGACATATTTATGACCTATTTTGTTCCACCTCCCAGTTGAACCCAAACAGATGATAACCAGAAACCAAGCTTGTCATTCTTTTTATCCGTTAAAAAACATCTTCACTATTTTGCATGCTAATTTAACAAGCCACCCTCTCTATATACAACTATTATCTGTAATTCCATTCCATCGTCTGACAAAGTGTGTGTGCAGACAAAAGCTCACACCTTGAATAAAACTTTGTTGGTCTTAAAGGTGCTACTGGACTCTAACTTTGTTATATAACTTATGTGAATATGATGGATAAACAAGGAAAAATAAACTCCTGGAAAACCATTTAAGATGAAGGAAAAAAACATTCCATGGGTATCATATCATCAAACGGTATTAAAATGGAAAGAACAAATTGCTAAAGAAGGTGGTCGACTAAGAAAGAAAATGATTTTTGAACAACTATTCACAGGAGATTCAAAACACCTATTGGGAAAAATGTATAAAATGTTATTGCAATACGACACTGAAACAGAGCAAGTTGAAAATGGTATGACAAAATGGATGTGAAATCTTGGAGAAACAATAGATATGAGTCAATGGGAAGATATTTGGATTAAAGAAATTACGTTTACCTAATGTCAAATATTAAGGGAGAATGGTATAAAATATGTGGTGGGCAGTGTTCCCTCTAAGCTGAGTTAGTGTGAGCTAGCTCACAGTTTTTTAGCCTCTGGCTCACAAATTTTTGTCTTGGCTCAGGAAGGATGTCTCCAGAGCAAACTAATTGATGCAGTAGCCAAGTCGCTCGCTCACAACTTTAATGCAGTACCTCACAAAGTAGAACTTTGCTCACAAGCTTAGAGGGAACATTGGTGGTGGGGTGTGAGCTTTCATGAATCACTGCTCACTTCTTCAGCAAACTGTATCATTGCTCATGTCCTGCCACAGACTTTTGTAGTCTTTAAGGTGCTACTGGACTCTTGCTCTTTTTTATTGCTACAGACAGACAGTCTAACATGCCTACCCATCTTGGTATAAAATGTTGTTTAGATGGCATATAACCCCTAAAGACATAGCAAAAGTAAATAAAGATTATAAAGAGAAGTGCTGAACATGTCAGAATACAAATGCAATATTTGATCTTATGTGGTAGAAATGCAAGCAATCAAGAAAGTATTGGATACAGATACACGAAGAAGTGCAAAAGATATTAAATCTCAAGTTTGCGATGGATTCAAAAATATGCTACTAAATGTCTTACCAAGCAATATTACAAAAATATATAGTGAATTATTCAAGTGCAAGCTGACAGTGACACAAGTAATATTTGCAACAAAATGGAAGGCAATGAGATGTCCAGACTTGAAGAAATGGAGGAAAAAACTAAATGAATATGTGACAGTGGCAAAATTCCGAATTTCAATAAAAACGGAAAGATTTTTTTGAACTCTATAGCTGAAGAACAAGAATAAAACCAAACTAAATAGACGATGATAGAAAGAAAGATTTAGGAAATATACATCAAAATGAAAATGTTACCAGATATGATGTTAGATTGAGAAGACAGAATGAAGTTATTTAAGTAGAAGTGAATTATTAAAAATTAATCTAAATTCTATATAAATGTATGATTTTGAATACGAATGATCATAGTTTATGTTCAATTACTGTATGTGTGTAAATGGAAATATAAATCAAACTAAAATTTAATTAATAACAGAGAAAAAGGAAGATGCCTTAAAACTATAACAAAGGGGAAGCTGGGGGAAAATATTTACTTGTTCTGTTTTATATATCCTGTAATGTATAATATTCTTGTAATGTATATTGTGTAATGTATAATTTTATATACATATAGTTATATAATTCTTTTTTCCTTTTCTATCCCCGCTATATTATAGTTTGCGTTTGTAGGTATAATATAGTATTCCCCACGATATTATGTTTTGCTTTCCAAAATAAAAATTAAAAATTAAAAAAAATAAAAAAGACTGAGTAAATATAAAACAGATAGGATAGTAGCAATAATAAACAACACAATCCCGACGCTAAGCGCAGAACGGGCTAAGATCCGTGCCATCCTGGAGTTCCGCTGAGCCTCAGTGCTGTTCCCCATCCGGTTGGCATCCCGAGTCTGAGGAGGAAGGAGAGAGGGAACGGTGAATAAGGGACCAGGCGACATCTCAGGCATGCGGAAACCACTGTTTCTGAGCTGTGCCGGAACAGTGTGTCGCCTTTGCATGGACCAAAGAGTATGGACCCAGAAAATATTCAGTAACAAAATACACTAGATCACAGCTGACGTAAACAGGCATATTCCAAGGAGTTCATTTCATAGGGAAGCCGTGTTGGTCTGCAGTCAAATAGCAACATTTGAGTCCAAGGGGAACATCTGATGAAGGGAGCTTTGACTCTGGGAAGTTTCTACCTGGGAAATGTTGTTGGTCTCTGAAGGCCTCCTGGACTGGAACTGAGCAGACATATCCCCAAATATTCTTAAACCAGGAGCTGGGTATAGACGGGTCAGTGTTTCCTTCCCACCTACACAACCAAAGCTGCTGGTCAGACTGGGACTGGAGTTTATTCCAGCCAAGAAGTTGCCATTGCATTTATGAAATCCCCCAGGAAACTTCAGTCAACAGCCAAGTTGAAAAGAAAAACCTATTTGCCTGTCAAAGGAACTCCTGAAAAGCACCATCTTTTCTGACCGAAGGGTTGCCAGCTCCAGGTTGGAAATACTTGGAGGTTCTGGTGGGTGGAGCTTGAGGAGGGCAGGATCTGGGGAGGGTCTAAAGCCAGAGAGGCCACTTTCCAAAGTGGCCATTTTCTCCAGAAGAGCTGATCTCTGTCTCCTGGAGAAGATCACAAACCACCTCCTGGACGTTGGTAGCCATAACTGGGTTCCAGTCACCAGAAGAAGGATAGCAAGGAAAACCCATGGGAGGGCAAAGGGTTGCCAGCCTCCAGGAGGGGCCTAGAGATCTCCTGCAATTACAACTGACCTCCAAACTACACCGATCAGTTCCCCTGAATAAAAGGGTTGCTTCAGAGGGTTGCCAGCTCCAGGTCTGGAAATACGTGAAAATTCTAGAGGTGGAGCCCAAGAATGGCAGGGTTTGGGGAAGGACGTAAATGGGGTACAATGCCATAGAGTCCACTTTCCAACGTGGCCGCTTTCTCCGGGTGAACAGATATCTGTCCCCTAGAGAGCAGTTGTAATCCCAGGAGATCTCCGGCTCCTGCCTGGAAGCCAACCACCCTCTTTGTCAAGCGGGCTGCTTATCGTCCTGCAGATTTTCTTTACTGAGCAACCCTGAGTACCCAAAACGGTTCGTAAAAACTAAAGTCAGAAGACGAGGATCAAAAATTAAAATTCGTACGAAGAAGGGACCACTGCAGAAGGCCGATCGTTCGTTCCCAAAGGGACAGTTGGAGGGAAAACTCAAACACGGATGTGGCCGGAGGAAAATCTGGCAGGAGGGAATCCTGTCACTCAAAAACCCAGACTCATCACTCCTAACTCCAGCAGAGGCCAACCTCACTCCCACAACAAATAGCCAGGCACAAAGCAGAGCCAGGTGAGAAAAGCTGAGATTTCAATCCAGACTGCTGTGAGATGAGATCCTCCATGAAATACTGAAAACCAAAAGCATTAAAGGTCTTAAAAAGCCAAAACAGAACATTCAAATGGGCCCTCGTGATTTCCCTTCTTTTTGGTCAGACGGTGACCTCTCCCCCATCCTCCACCTCCCGTGGCTGATCAAGGAGAGACTCACCCGTACAGAGTAAACCACGGCTGCAATTCCCAGAGGCAGGAAACAACACAGCATGGTGGAGATGGAATACGCCAGGTGATCCGGTGCATCGGTAGGAGGTATAAAGACAACAGTGCTGTGCAGCGGAGGTCGGACATCAGGTCCTGAGCTGGGCACTGCACCGTATGGGGCGTAATAAGGCTGGTACTGAGTTGGCATGGCAGAGTTTGCTAGCCCATCAGCAGGAATTAGTTGCTGACTGTAGGACTGTTTCTCGGAGTAGGGTGGTGGGTTCTGGGAAAAAAGGGCATCTTCTTTGTCGTTTGGGTGGTCCATAGTGAAAAGGTCTCCTTCTCAGCTCTGCTATTCTGAGAATGTTCACTGTCCTCCCTGAAAATTCCTTTCTTTGCTCGAGTTGCGTCTTCAGTACAGCTCTCCCCTACCCCCTCGCCTTCTTCCTGTTACTTCCCGCCAAACGCGCTATTATCTTCTCCTGGCTGCAGGTTGGTCTTCTTCAGTTTGCTCTGCTCCTCTGCCAACTGGCCTCTTCTGTAGCCCTCTGGAGGCTGGGTGGAGCAACCTCCCTGTGCCTGCAATAAAGAAGAGCCAGCAAGTGGTTGGGTGAGGCATTGTGCAACGAATCACCCCAACAGATTGAGGAGAGGCATGAGAGTTCTGGGGAAAAGGATGAGATTGCCCTCCAGTCAGAGAATGGAAGATCTGCTTTTTGCATTCTTGATATAGCAACACATTACGTTTTATCTTGCTTCCATAGAAGTATGCCATTTGGAAAGACCAAAATGCTTTTCCTGACACAGATATTCTCATTTCATGGGCCCCATCCACATGGCAGGGGAAAAGCCTCTAAAAGCGCGGCTTTTAAAAGCCGCGCCAGAGTTGAGACGCCGCGGCGGGATCCCACGGATCCCCTGGCCGCGGCGCCTTTTCTCCCCGGCACGATCAAACGCCGGGGAGAAAACGCGGCCCTGACGGGGAGCCTGCCGAACTGCGCATGTCGGAGCATGCGCAGTTCGGCTAGGAGCCGGGGATGCGCTGGCACAAAGACGCGCCGGCGATCCGACGGCCCGGCTTGCGGCACGTCATCCGGATGAACCACCTCGGTAGGTGGTTCACTTTTGATGCGCCGCATCGGGGGGAGGGCCAGATCGGAGACGGGAGCGCAACGCCAGCCAGATGTTGGCGTGGGATCACGCCCGTTTGCTCCGTCTCCAATCTGGCCCACTCCCGGCCCAAAACGCCTCGTGTGAACGGGGCCATGGTCCCCCAGCTAAAGTAGAGCCACATTCTCATGTACACAATTCACTGAGCATTGTACAGCCAGAAAGCAGACACGCTATAGAAAAAGGAGCTAAGTGGAAACACTTCTGCTTGGCATGCAGAAGGTCACAGGTTCAATCCCCAGCATCTCCCGTTAATACAAATGGGCTGGAGGTGACGGGAAAGACCTCAGCCTGAGACCCTGGAGAGCCGCTCCCAGTCTGAGTTGACAATACTGAGTCTGATGGACCAAGGGTCTGATTCAGTATGAGTCACCTTCAGGTGACACAAGAAAAAATGGAAGCAAGATACAGGATTCTGGGACCAAAGAACAGGGGTTAAAATCCAAGGGGTGATCTAGAAGTGTGGGGTGTGCCAGGCAATGTTGTGTGCTGTCATTCCACTTTGCCATCATCCGATTGGATATTTCTCAGACAGTTCTTAGACCGTTCCTGAAGCACTACAAGGTGCTGTGTAAAATGCCCACGTAGCACTTCCTCCAATGATGATTCCACTTTGCCATCATCCGATTGGATAGTTCTTAGACAGTTCTTAGACCGTTCCTGAGGCGCTACGAGGTGCTGTGTAAAATGCCCACGTTGCACTTCCTCCAATGACGTTTTCCCACCCTTTTTCGCCCGCGGCGATCTCCGTCTTTTTTTAAACGTTCTTTTGAGAGCGCTATGGCGCTGTAACGCAACACCAAAACAGTGCAATAGCAACCCCATTGGGCTGCCTGGAGCACTGAGATGCATGAGACCACTACATCTAGGGAGAACAGTGATTTCAGTGGAGTACAATGCCATGGAGTCCTCCTTCCACAGCATTCACTTTATGCCTGGGAACTGTAGGCGGTAGAAAAGCTGTAAGCAATCCTTCCTCTAAGCTGAGGAGTCCTGTGAGCAAAAATTCCACTTTGTGAGCCACTGGCATTAGAATTGTGAGCAGGTTATTTGGCTACTGCATACATTAGTTTGCTCTGGAGCCATCCTTCCTGAGCTAAGACAAAGAAGTGTGAGCCAGAGGCTCAAAAACTGTGAGCCAGCTCACACTAACTCAGCTCAGAGGGAACACTGGCTGAAAGTACAGGGGATCCGCAGGCCATGCTGGCCATCAAGAGGAGGATGCTGTTTGCAAGCTAGGAAGGAGCTAGTGTTAAAAAAAATGCTCTCAAACTGTGTGTTCCCGAGCTTCCACTTCCAACTTTTAAATCCCCCAATAAAACTGTGCAGTTCCACGCATGCCCAATAGGGGTCGCTACTGCATTGTTTTGGTGTTGTGTTACAGCACCATAGGTCTCTAAAAACCCTATAAACCTCGACCTCGTTTCTCCAAGCTAAAGAGCCCCAAGCATTTGAACCTTTCTTCAAAGGGAAAGTGTTCCCCTGGAAAAAATGGATGCTTTGGAGGGTGGACTCTATTGGCATTGCACCCCACTGAGGTCCCTGTCCTCCCCAGGCTCCATCCTCAAATCCCCAGGAGTTTCCCAACCAGGATCTGGCAACCCTACCCCCTCATCTCCCTCCAGTGGCCAAGAGGGACCTGGCAACCCTGCACCAGACTGCTGTTCACATCACAAGTATATGACATTTCTGGAGGCAAAGTCACTGATCTCGGGCATCATGTGTAGTGTGGCTGCAGGGCCCATACCTGGATCATAGGGTCTGTATCACGCCAGCCTTGGTACATCTACACTGGCTCCCAGTTTGTTTCCATACCCAATTCGAGGAGCTGTGTTTGACCTTTGAAGGTAAAAGGTAAAGGTTCCCTTGCTCGAAAGCCAGTCGAATCCGACTCTAGGGTTGCGGTGCTCATCTCCGTTTCCAAGCCGAAGAGCCAACGCTGTCCGAAGACGTTTCTGTGGTCATGTGGCCGGCATGACTAAACACCAAGGCGCACGGAACGCTGTTCCCTTCCCACCGAAGTGGTACCTATTGATCTACTTGCAATTTCTTGCTTTCAAACTGCTAGGTTGGCAGGAGCTGGAAGTAGAGACGGGAGCTCACTCCATCATGCAGCACCCGGGTCTCGAACTGCTGAACTACTGACCTTCCATAGCCTGCAGTTCAGCGTCTTAACCACTTGAACCACCGCAGCTCTTTGACCTTTGAAAGCCTTTCACAATTTGGGACCAGTGTTCCTTGTGGACCACCTATTTGGGAGGGAGCTGTGACTCAGGAAGAGCCTCTGCTTTGCATGCAAGAATTCCCTGGTTCAATCCCCGGCATCTCCATTTACAAAGGACCTGGCAATAGCTGATGTGAAAGACCTGAAACGCTGCAGAGCTGCCGCCAGTCTGAGTAGACAATAGTGACCGTGATGGACCAGGATTCCAATTCAGTACAGGGCACAGGATTACCAAGTTCCCCTTGGCGACCGGCAGGGGATGTGGGGCAGGGATTCCAAATTCAGGTTGCGAAACTCCTGGAGATTTTGCGGTGGAGCCCGGGGAAGTCAGGTACTTCAGTGGGGCACAATGCCTCCATTTCCTCCAGGGAAATCCGTCTCTGTAAGCGTGGAGATGAGCTGGAATTCCGTGGGATCCCCCAGGTCCCGCCAGGAGGCTGGCATCCCTATTTACCGCAGCCTAGTTTGTCTTCATGCCTGCCCGTTAGGGTCATCCTCTCTGTAGCCTTGCTTGGAGCAGCGATCCCGGCGAGAGTGCGCCGGAGAACAAATGCAAACGAAAACTTGCTTAAGGCAGGACATCCCATCACCTCGAAGAGAGAGACGAAGAGGAAAGGAGATGACAATGCAATGCAAGGCAGGCGATGCATGCAAGGATCATCGCCATAGGCTACAGTCGGGGGGGGGGGGGGGGGGGGGGATGCATGTCGCCCACACTTCGGGATGCCACCTCTCTTCGTCTCCCCACAAAGCCCTACGACCTACCCGGTACCAGCGAGCTTCGTCTTTACCCACTAAGCAGCCAGCAGAAACGACCAGTGTAGAAGAAGGGAAAACACAACCAGGTCCGCCCGCGTCACTTTCAAAGCACTCCCCCGACCGTGCTGTCCTCCGCCCCTTTTCAGTCCACCGCTGCCTTCTGGGAAGTGTAGTTCTTGTCCCACCCGTCCTCCAAGGCACAACGGTGGAATTGCAGGGATAGCAGCGGCTCTGTTACTTCGCCACACAGCTAGTCAAAGGGCGATACGCGAGGCAGGGAAAGCGACTCACCCAGCTGCAATCCCCGTGCACGCTTCTGAGGGAGGAGACGCCCCGCAGGAGAGAGCCAGGTTTACTCCCAACTTCCCAAATAAACAGGTTTAGGATTGGGCGCTACAAGAGCAAAACGTTCCGTGCAGTACCCAGGCTGACTGCGAGGTCGTGGGTGGCATTGGGGAGTGACAAATGGATATAAAACACTGCAAAGCATTTGGATTTCCTCATCGCCACCTACTTTGAGAACGTGGGAAATGACATTTCATTTAGAAATAAACGCATTCAAAAATGGGCCAGACAAAGTACCACTATGGAGTGGGTTGCATAATCCCCGCCTGTGTTCTTGGGGATCTAAAAGTGCAATGCATGTTTGGAAGAGCATTAGCATAATAGGCCACACCCAACAGCAGAAACTCATTAGCCTATTAGGCCACACCCCTGACAGTGCAGCTCATTAGCATATTATGCCACACCCCATGCTTTCCCTTGACTTGCCTGGGCGCCCCAGGCTGCAGGGAGCCCGGGCAACCTGGCCTTTCTGGGGAAGGCAGGAGGCATTTTAATGCCTCCCCATCCTTTCAGGGGGGCCCTGGCCAGCATGCCTGGGAGTGGGGGGGGTTTGCTCTCCAGGCCTTCCCTGCCTGCAGAGGTTTTTACTGTAGTGGGCGTGGCCAACCCTGAAGCCAGCCGGAACTCTGTTCCTGTGCCTTCCTGCCCCAAAATAGCCCTGCTCAGGTATATTAGCCCTTCCTAACATTCTGTCATGTTTATTAATAATAATTATTATTATTAATATTAATAACGACCCTGAAGCCAGCCGGAACTCCGTTCCTGTGCGTTCCTGCCCCAAAATAGCCCTGGACACAAGAAAGAAAGCCGTAGCCCTCAGTTTGCAAGACCTGAGCAAATTCATAGTGTCACCATAAGCTGGAAGTGACCTGACACAGGCACATACACATAAGTTCAGAGGGAGGAGGCATGGTGTTTTGTCAGATCTCAGAAGCTGAGCAGGATTGATACTTTGGTGGGAGAGGAGGCCATCAAGGTAGACTCAGTAGAGGAAGGGGAAGGTCATGGCAAACCATCTCTGCATCTCACTTGCGCTGAAAGCCCCTTGCTGGGGTCACCATAAGTTAGTTGGGACTTGACAGCACTTGAGAATGTAAATTAAATTTCTTTGGTTTAGTCTCCTTTAAAAGACACGGGAAGAACCAATCAAAAGACATATTGGTGCGCCTTCATAAAAGTTTCCAATTTGGTTATAAATCCAGTGAACAAGGGTACACACATGCGTGCACACATGCACACACACACACACACACACACACACG